GTCCCCATCTCGTAATGTTTTTCCAGCTGAGAAAAGACTAACATTCCACTTATGCTACGTAAATTGCACAAATAGGAAGTATTGTAATGTTGTCATTCTTGAGTGGAGTAGAAGCAAAATTCAAATCATTACATTCCATCCAGTGACCAGTCATCCTGCGACAGTAAGCTATGAAGTGATCGTCAGTCTTTCGATAGTGGATTACACCAATCAGTCTGAAAAAAAAATTGGGGATTGAGGATACTCTTCTCAGAAATAGATATATGGAGACTAGGAACGTCACTCACCGATATATCTTGCCCAGGTACAACTCCGCTGGAATATTGCTCAGGTGGCATTCCAAACCATGTTTCTGTTTGTAATCAAGCCTGACATCCAATTCAATCAATAAAGTGTTGTTCAAGACAGTACTTTCACCTACTGTACCACCACAATGAGACTGCGTACACTTCCGGGAGCGTTGAAGAATGATAGCCCTAGCCAGAGCTTCGAAACCTTGTTCGGCTATCATTATAGGATCGACTGGCAGAAAATCAACAGTGCTAGATTTTTGGATCGAGCAATTTTGATTAAGGCATTGACTAGTCCGAGTTCCATTTCGTTCAAGATCAAACTTACTCCAAATGCTACATATTGCATCTTTAACATTTAGACGCACTGGTGTTATGCTTGTAGCATTTTTCTGCACTTTAACGGGGTAGAATTGAGCTAGAAGGGCACACCGACGATGGAGAATTAAAGTGGTTGGCCCAGATTGCATAAATTCAACGATGAACTGTAACAGTTCATTCTTTGATGACTTCATTCTCAGCTTATAAGCTGTATCATCCATAGCAGCAGATTGTAGAATGTGTACGATGGAGTCGAAGCCACACGATTCCTCAACATGAACTCTCATACCATTATATTTCACGTAAGGGCATATCAGACCATTGGGGAGGAAAAATTCTTTCTGTTTAGAACCACCTCTTTCATTCAAAATCCTAATTTCGGGGTATGGTGCAAAATATCCTTGACGTTCTTTCGATTTTGATATTTTATCCAGCTTCTTTTCAGATTGCACATCTGTACAACGTTCTTCCGATTTTGTTGTTAGAATTTGTGGTTTCGATACCTCAGGACTCTTTGGTGAAACGGGGATTTCTATTTGCGATGAGTTGGCATATGAATGATCTAGTAGAGGAGTACTTGAGAATATTTGAGAGCAAGAGTTCTTATCCCATTTCGAATGGATCCATGAAGGATTTTCTTCTAGAACTGAACTAGCATTGTTGTTGATCTCAACGAAATTATTCAATATTTCTTCAGTGAGGAGATAATCCTTCAGATTATCCCTCTGCAAATCAAGAACGTGTGAACTAACTTCAGCAGTATTAGGACATTTGTCAGGGGATTCTTCTGGAAGTCCTTGAGCACCGATGGACACATCCTGGCAAAAAAATTTCTCCTCATCATTAACAATGCCACGCCATTGCATTTGAGTGAGAAAGTCAGAATCCATTTCACGGGGGTCATCCCAATTATGATTTATTTTCGCTATATTGTCCTCAACTCTATTGTCAGTATTTTCCTGCAATTCATCTTTTTGAATATTCACTAGATTCTTGTCTTTACAACTTACCTCCTGATTATTGTTCAACAAATCGTCTGATAGATTGCCACTGACACTTGATGCATCCATCTCTCTCATTTCTTTCTTCTGACTCTTTCCAGGGCTTTCCTTTGGTTCACCTTTTTCACCTTCTGAAGAGTCTGGATGAGCTGGGAGATTAGTAGGTCCGGGTGCGTTATGCACGAATTTCTTCAATTCTTTAGACATATAGATATTACCACTGAGGATATCGTCCAAAAGCTTCTTCAAGAATACATGACAAACACATGGCAATGTCATATTCTGGAAGACTCCGTTCCTGACAGCATTGAAGTAGCCCTCCTGATATGCTGATGAAGCATGTTTCTCACCATTTGGTATAGCTGCACCGGTCCAAAGTGGAAATTCTTTCCCAACCCGTTCCAAATCATCGATAAATGGAGGTAGATAGAAAGGATTTTCCAAGTCACCGGGAATTTTCTCTGGATTTTCTGGTTTCACTGACGATATCAGATCTTTGATCCATTGGTGTGTCACTGTCGATTTTCGTCCTGAGCACGATTCTTCAGGCAGTGGGTCAAAGTTATAAGGAATCTCCGATTCGTTATTCCC